GCTGGCTTGTGGTAATTTGTTTTATATTTGTCCATGAAATTAATTTCTTTTTAAAATATTATACTTTTAACCATTGGAAATACATGTAGTAAATTTACATTATCTTTCATAACATTTTCGATATCATTATATATACAAGGTAATTTATGTTTAAAATTAAGCGCACGTTAAATTTCAAATCCTTATAATGCAAAAATGGTAAATTGGGGGGGGGGAGGCTAATAACGCTTCAACTCATAATACGTCAAGTCAAATAGATTTTGTTATAATTGTATTAAGTTACTCAAAATAATCTAAAACTTGATTTTCAAAAGTCTTATAAAATGGAATTTTATCTTTGATATAGCGATAATTATCTGATACTTAAAAAGTAAAAAACACGAACGTTTATGGATAAACATATAATTATTTGCTATGTAATTGGTAAGTGTTGGTAGTTTTTGGCACTTTTGAGTGTTTTTGGAAGTTAGATAATTATTCGTTATCTAACAGAAAAAAAACATATTTAGTAAGTCTGATAAATATCTGTTATTCAACGCGAAAACTAACTAAATAGAAAGTCAGATAGTTAACTCGATAATTGTGTGAATAACGTTGACAGAAATATGCCACCATAAGAACCTTATTAAGGTATTAGGACCCTAATGGGCACTATCAGGAACTAAAAAATTGACATCATAAGTCAGATGTATACCTTAAAGTACACCTGTATGCAAAATTTAAACAAAGTTTACCGTACAGAAAACAAGTTATGGCCACTTTTCTGAACTCAAGCTAGGATGTTATGAGGGCCCTTTTTTAGAAAGTAGGAACCTTTAAATAATCTGCAATAACATTCTAATGAAAAATGTTTTCCCCTTAATTTTTGGTTAGAAACAAAAAGTACCATTCAGCTAACAATCCAAATAAGCAAAATTATGGTTTCTACTCAAAATTTATGAAATCTGTATAAAAATGTTACCCTACCCCACCCATTTTTACCACGTGTCTGACCATTTTTCTACTTAGGGAGCCTAATTTAAAAAATTCTTAAAATTTACCCAAATGAGTGCCTATTTTCAAAGTTTCCCTAAATTTTTAAAAAAGTATATTGGTTTGTCTTGTAAAATATGAAATACTTTTACCGTCTAGTTTTGATTATATTACACTTTGAAAATAGCAGGTACCATATTTATTACTAGATTTAGCATAATTTAGCCAATAAATACCTATATAAATTTTAAAAAATCAAAATTATACACTTTTTTCTTTCCAAATGGGACATGAGAGATACATAAATAATGTTAAAAGAAAAAAAGAAAGAAAAAAAAGTTGACTCTTCTGTGGATTGAACCCATGGCCCTCATTTTCAATGTAGTTAACAGTAGATCTAGCCTATTTGAATACTCTTCAAAGCGGAGGTAATGCATTAGGGTGCTAATACCTTAAGTTGACGTCTAAGAAATTGAAATTGTCTTTTATGATGAGAAAACGGTCTAACGCTGGCAGAAAACTGCTAAATGCAAAGATTACAACTTTAATGATATACTGAAATGTTTTTCAATCTAAAATATACACTGTTGTTATCTATTTGTGCAGCTGGCCATAAAAAGTTTACAAGTCGATGGGATCATATTCAATCAACAAACATATTCAATCAACAAAAATCCAAATTAAAACATCTTTTGCTTGCATAGGATTTGTATATGTTAACTACTTTGCTTTATTTATGTATTTACAGTGAAAGCTTGAAAATAAATCTCACCAAAGATGCTGACCACAAACGAAAATATGTGAACTTCTATTGCTAATATCTGTTAAATCAAACTTTAAAATGAAACTTTTACCTAATTACGGTTTGTTTTATTTACATTTACAGTACATATTTTTAATATTTGAGCATACATCGTCGTGTCCATTCCAGCACCATCATAGGCGAAAAAAAATGGCATATAACTAATATAATTGTAAATAAAAAGCTTAATGATCGAATAAAAATGAAAAAATATAATGTGTCTATATCATGTTGTTTTGATGATTTATTATTCTTTCACATACAGTGAATGCAAGATAAGGAGGTATAAGAACACGTTTATGTATCATATGCAAGAAATAGAGGGATAAGAATACGTTTATGTATTGTATGCAAGATAAAGAGGAGTCTGTGTACGTTCATGTATTATATGCAAGATAAAAAGGTATAAGAATACCTTGATGAATTATATACCAGAAAAAGAGGTTAAAGCATACGTTTTTGCATAATTTATCTTTAAAGAAAATAGCATTATGCCCATCCAAGGATATACAGTAAGTGAACAGTTGCAATTCCTTTTAATTTTATACGTTATTTCGCTTTAAAGACAAATAACTCATGTGACCAAAGGTAATATCTATATATAGACATGTGGGCATTATAGATATGCAAACATGCAAGAAAGAGAGGTATAAGAATACGTTCATGTATCATGTATAGGATAACAAGAGGTCCAAGATAGCACTAGATCACTCTACTGACCCATCGAACTCATCCAAGCAATTACCTAGACAAGCATTCTGACCAAGTTTCATGACAGGTGAGTCAAAAATGTGACCACTATGTGTTAACAAGGATTTTCCATATTTTAGCAGTTTGACCTAGTTTCTGACCCCAGGTGACCCATATTCAAACTTGGCCTAGGAATTTCATCAAAACAAATTTTCAGGCCAATTTTCAGGATCTTTGGGAATATATGAACGATATATTACTCTTGTGACCTAGATAATATTTATAAATATCCTTGGAAATGTGCCAACTATGTTCAAATTATGAAAAGAGTGGAACAGTCCTTTTATACTTATGATTAAGATGTATGTTATATCCTAAACAATTTTCAATATCAACTGTTGGTAAATCACCATTGTGATAGTCTATTATGTAATATATATACATGTAGTCAATTCAGCTCAACATAACAATAAAACAAGGGAACATTGTTGCAAAATACTCTCGTCACAAAAACAGAGCAGTCATGATAATGACAATTTGTGTTTCAATACCCTAAAATGATGACTAAATGGTCCTATTCACATTTTCATATTTTTAATCTGAACTTTGGTCCCTATGTAATGACCTTGACAATGGTCTCTAGGACCTGAATATTGCACGCGACACTCTGTCACACAATGATGAACATTTGTGCCAAGCAGTATTAAAATCCCTCTATGCATGTAGAAGATTTGCTCCGGACAAGCGTTTGATAATGTTCTTTACGTGTTAGCTTGATTTTTGATCAAGAGAACCTAGCGCTAGACCAGCTTCTTATTGTGGTGAGTATTTCCATGAATTTCATTAAATATCCTTCATGTGTGTATATTCGGGACGAAATCTTTATATTTAATCATCTTAAGTGACCTTGAGCTTGCATATGTTAAGCTGGGTTACATGTTTCACATATGTAGTCATGAAATGAAGTTTGTGTTTCAATCCGTCAGTAAATGATGACTAAATGGTTCCAGTTCACATTTTCATATTTTTATCTGAAATTTGTACCCTTTGCGTGACCTTGGCCTTAACCGCAGGGACCTGATTTTTGCATGCACTGCATTTTTGTTCTAGGACAAACGTTTCTCAATTAACTCTTAGTGTGACTTTGAACTTTAACCTAGAAATCTGGTTAATGCGCGCAACGTTTTTCAAATGGGCCTAAGGTCACTTTAACATTTACAGGCTTGTAAGCAAACGCTGATACGACAATAGGGACTACTATTCACATATGACTGTTTATTAGCTCAACATGTTTTTTTTCAACTTTTTAAAGGATTAAAATGGTTGCACAGACGGAAATAGTGTTTACATAAGTTATATACCATTGAACCGGTATTATTATTTTGTAATTTTGTTAAATACGTATTCGTCATGTCCTGCTATATACCTTGTCATTAAACTAGTAAGTCGGACTTATTCTGGATATTAATCATTACAATTTGCTGAGTGTGAGATCTTAAAAGACATAATCGGAAAAATATATAGATAAGTAATTTAAATGCAGTAAGAAAAGATAGGAAAAGTAAAAAAGTTTAGAGAAAGCCCCTTTTATCAAGAGTGAGATACCATATTATTTATCATTTACGATGCTAAAAAAGATCGAATTAAAAGTACCTATAATCTCTAAACTGTCCAAAAGTCTCAACATTGAAAATATTGGAAACGGATTATATCGAGAAAATAAAACAAGAAATTCCCTTTTTTTCTTTTTTTTTTTTAAATCACATGTGGACAAAGGACAATGGAATAAATCAACTGTTTAACCAACAGTCGTTCGATGCTGTGTAATAAACTATTTTTATAATTTGTAGTACAGGTTGAACGCGATAGGTTGATAGTATTTAAAAATAACGAATGTATGTTATGAAATGCAAAGAATTATTTCATAAAGTTATTCTTCAATTTGTTTACAATTTCATCTTAAAGTACTTATTATGTAGCGCCATATTTTAAGTATGTTTTTGTTTAAGAAACTGTTTTAAGACGAGTTTTTTCCACCCAATCGAAATAATTTACATCTAGCTTATGTGCAAGTGCAATATTATCGCAATTAATCGACGACAGAAAGTAATAAAAAAATTCAATTTAGACCTAGTATTAGAAATTGCTTTCAATGAATGTCTTTTTAATTGCCTTCAAAATATAATTGTAATGAAAACTGAATAAAATGATTGCCATGTCCCGTATTTGACAAAATAAAGACACAGTGCATTTTCAACATCTATTTTTCTTTTTGTTTCAAAACACGTCTTCATTTTTTGTTTGAATTTCACTCAAATGTAAGACTATACTTTGCCATGACCTTTGATTTGCATGAAGTGTTAATAAAGAAATACATATTCTGAGCTGTCTTAGGTTATATCAATTACAAGTACACTTTAACAAACTGCTAGAGTATTAAATAGTTGCATTTTGTGTTTAAAAGGTAATTAAAAAGATCCTCAAGTGAAATTTTATACGTGACTCATGGCAGTGATCATATAAAATGATCATAAATAAACAGATGTTGTAACAGAAAACAAACAAAACATTTTAGATATACCGTATATAGCAACTGCCTCGTCATACCTGTTGATCAACGTTACATAAATATACTTTTTTATTTTACGCAGTTTTGCTATATAATAAGACGGATATATTTTAAAAGTTGTTAGGTAAATATTAACATATTAATTGTATGTTTGATATTCAGAGACATATTCGGGAAATATATGATAAGTATTTAGAATATTGTCAGATAAGTTTGAAGTAAATTATAAGAAAAGTTCGAATAAAACATCTGATTATCGAGATTGAGATATGATTAATAACATAATTGTAAGGTAGACCAAATTAGAGCTTGAAAATTTATTTAAGGTCGCAATTTTGACAGTGCTAACGTTAATAATATAATGTGAATTATAAAGAATTCAATAAAGAAGAAATGTTCTAGAATCATTTTGTGACAAAGGACAAGAGAATAAAATAATTGTTTTATGATAGATATCTTATAATCAAAAGTACTTGTGGTTAAATGAAATGGTTTATGATAGTGAAAAACAACAAAAAGATGTTATGAAATATTAAACATTATCTTTGACTTGTTTATAGTTCATCATTTTGTACATAAATATGTAATGCCCTATTTTTTTCGAAATTTGTTTTCAGGAAATGGATTCGGTCAAAATAATACTTGCATTCGTTCTCCTTTCTAATTCAATGATTGTCAAAGGAGACCCAGCAACGGACTGTGCCGTGATAAAATGTTATTATCCACCTGGTTGTGTCGAGATACCAGCTAAGGGACAATGTTGTCCGAAATGTAAACGTATGTGTTGTTTTAACATTCCTAATTTTTAGTCATTTATTTATTAGTTTGTTTGTTGTTTATTTGTCTGTTTTATTTATTAAGCAATTAATTAATTAATTAATTAAATAATTAATTAATTAATATTTATTTATTTATTTATTTTTATTTATTTATTTATTTATTATTCATAAACGCATATGTGTTTTGTATTTGTATAAATTTTGTTATTACAAATTAGGGTTATGGGGAAATGATTGACGACATACTTTCAATTTTAAACTTATACAATGATTCAAAATAAATCCTTTGGTGTATGAATGTCACTGGTATTTAAGACCTTGTCGTGACCTTTTCACTATATGTAGTATTATAAAAATAATATGTTTTATAAGCTATGCAGCTTGTTGTTAAGATGAACAATAAATGTAATGATGATAAACTGCCACATCAGGCCAGTGATGTTGCAGAGATGTATTTCAATCACTCCAGTCTTAGAGAGTAAAATAATGTATGATACGATTATTATTATAACTCTTCAGAACATCTTATGATTTTACATAGTATAAAACTAGTGTACATACGACTAGTTACATACAGGATACTTATATATGATTTGTTGACAAATGTTGCAGTTTTATAAAGATACTCAGGCGTAACAAACATATAGATTTTCGGAAAATTTTACACCGGTATGCACTACCATTTAGTTGAAAACACGTTTAGATCCAGGTGAACTGACATGTTAATAAAATGTTTTAGTCTAGAAATATTCAAGCGTGAATCCTGGTCTTGAAGTTAAAAACAAACAACAACATTTTATTTTTAAAATCTGTATCTCGGATATCAGGATCTTATTGGTATATGTACATTATGTGGCTGTTAAACGCTATCAAAGTAAATATTACCCTTGAGATTGTGTTCATCACTGACCATTACATCACATTTCTTTAAAACTGAATGTGTAATAGTCAGAAAATTCAATTAGCAAATAGTTAAGTAATTACGTTTCTAATGTATTTAGCGTTTCAAAACGATCGATTATTTTTATGCTATAAGGGGCAAATAATACATAGTGAAAAATACGAACTCTGTAAAATGTATATCTAACCATAATAAAGTTGCATGCATGAATAAATAAGTTGTTGATTTTTGCAGGCGGTAAATCTTGTAAATATGAAGTTGGTAATGGGAGTGATAAAGTTAAAGTAAACATTCAACACGGAGAGAGCATACAGATAGAATGTAATACATGTACCTGCATTGATGGCGTACTTGCATGTACCGAGAAAGCTTGTTGTATGTTTTACTTTATATTTGTTTTAATATTTTCATTTGTTTCAAGCAGTAATTTAATATCTTGTAGTACATGTTACAATAATATATTAAATCCTTCTTTATTCACAGTGTAATCTATGCCATGTATAGACGATAACTTGCATGATTTTTCTACCTTTGAGCGAAACATTGTCCCTAATTATCTTCTTCACTAGAACTTTTTCTTGTACCATATGCTACTGTAGTGTTGCATTTTAAATAGACCTCTTCACATAGATAAATAATTCTTTCCAAAATATTGAGATTCATCAGTATATAACCTAATGAATTATCATAAATAAACTTGTCGAATCTAAATTATAGACACGCTATGCTGTCTGTCTTTATAAAAAGTCAAGTATATTCCAATAATGTTTCGATGAAGTGCATTGCTTGGTAATTAGTTTAATGGAAACTGTAAGGTTAAAAGGCCCGGGTGTGAAATGGGAAGTAAGACCTTCCCTGTCAATAGCTTAAAATTAATGATGTTAAAACTTTCCCAATAAATTTTTTAAGGAAACAAAGATTAAGATTAAATATTGACTTTAGAATTTATTATAAATTCGACATAATGCAACTTAAGGGAAGGGTGTGCGGATGGGGTTGGTTGTAACGCCGCATCAACTACGCCTGTTAACATGTAAGTGAATATGAACTATCGTAACATTCTATAAAATGTCAAGTTTGGCAATTTGAAGTAAAAGGAAAACCATTTAACGAAATTTTAACTCATGCTGTTTTACTTACATTGTATATGCATTGTGAAATTTACTTGATACAGTGTATATGCATTGTGAAATTTACTTGATATAGTTCATATGCCGATGGATACAGTTCATATGCCGATGGAGTCATATAAAACAAAAACATGTGATTATAGAAGTCACCATCTGTCATTAAAGTTTGTAAGGTTTATAAAGAGGAATAAATTGATTATGCGTTAACTTTAGGATAAATCAATTATATGTATGCATTTCAGTACCAGCTTGAGCTTACAATTTACCATAGATGTTGACCACAGACGAACGAGTATCATCTACCACAGCTAATTCCTACTAAATCGGATTTTAAATTGAAACAAAAATGTTTTTGAACTTGGAACTTTTGCACATAAATGGCAACATGTACTTTTCAACCAATATTTTATTATATTATATTTGATTGCATTCTTATGTATAGTAATTGATAGTGACACAGCTGCGTACTTTCCAGAAATTTCAAATCATTGATACCAATGCTATAAAGATGATTAAATGAATTTCGACAAGGTTATAATGAATTACTTACAATATTATCTTGAAAATATATATCATATTGTTTATATTTTACGCCTTTGAAACATCCAAATCAAATAGAAATGGGTATAGGTACACGTTCAGGTGTGACATCTGAGTGTGATATCATAAAAATACTTAAAATGAAGTGGAATCAACAACTTCAGATATTCAAGTGTCATTATGCTCCATGTTTTATTGTAAAGGACAAATGTAAATCTACTGAAATACAAAAAAGGCTGTCACAATCTTTTTCTTACTTTCTTTTTAAACTGAAAAATAAATTCGTATGGATATTTATAGACATTCCTTGCATCGTTTATGCGATGTAAATAACAATGAAGTTAAAAGGATTTATGAAAAAATGTAAAGTTACTTTGTCCTTCACCTATTCACTCACTTTATTCCCTTGGATGGGCATGATGTCACTAGAACGATTTTTTCTTCTCATCTAAATAATTTAGAATTAAACATGAGTACCACGAATGTCCACGATGACCTAAGATCGCTAACCTGAGATTCATGCTACGAAAGGTTTAAGCCAGTGATGATGTTAAATTGGTTTTTAAGTTTAAGTGTGTTTTTATATTATTATTTGTAGATCAAAATGCTTCATGATAAAAGTCTTTACTAATGGCAATGCAAAAGAAGACTTTTTTCTTAGAGGGTCTATACAAACTTAATTACAGTTTGCAGGTTTGACACCATTGGTATTACTTGGACGACAAGGTATTTGCATTGTTGTGTCATAAAAGAGGAATTAAATGTATAATCTTGTATTTCTATGTTAATTAGGTGACCCGGGGGTCAATTTGACCCCATACGCATAATATATTCATCTGCTAAGCAGCCGAACATCTTATGATTTTGAATAAGAAGCATGCTATACTGCGGAATGACACAATTTATTTTGCGAGTCGTTAATGAGTATATACAACAATCACATACATCATTATTGTGGCTACAGATCTACAAAATTGTAATACATTTGGATTGGAGGGCTTGGGCTTGGACGGTTTTTTCCAGTACCGTCCATGAACAGGTTCAAATAAATCCGAGCCTGCAACATTTTTTATTTTGCCGTTTTTGACGTTCTACAGATTTTTTTTTCTTTATTTTATTTTTTTATTTATATATTCAACTAAAAGCTCAAACAAAAAGAGCTAGCTTTTTTTAACTTTGTTGTTTGGGAAGTTCTTTATTTTTTCTTAATTTCAATTTTCAGTGTTTCATTTATAAACAAGTAGGTAGACTTGCTGTCCAAATGCTACACAATTTTTCACTTCTTACAACCAAAAGTATTAAACGTTTCGGCAATTGCGGATGTCACTATATACCGTCTGCTTTTTGCCCATATAACCGTGGCATATTATGGACATTTGTTATTACATTGTTAGAAGCCTTTAACTAGGATTGTATAAAATAAACTTAGATATTAAGAAAACATTTAATAGCAATTAATGCGCTGCAATCTGCGGTACCGTTCCCGTGGTGAGATCTTTGTACTCGTGTTTACCGTTTATGGTTAAACCTCCGTTAATCACAAAATGCAAATGTCAATTTCACGGCTGATTATGTCAAACACGTGCTACTCTTTCGATCTGTGACATAAACAACTCAAAATGACATTAAGAAATAAGATATATTCACACATGTGTTGTCACAATCATTCATTTTGCGTGAGTCATCCCACGTCATAAGATGTAATTATTTAATTTTGAAGTTCAAAACGATACCCGTCGAGGCTAATAAAATCCAGGAAATCATGATGATTGACATATTTAAATGATTTAGAAAGGTAGTTGGGGATAAAGGGATAAAGTTAGGAGATACGGTAGCACAACGTACTAATTGCAACACGTTTTTATCGAACTATTGCTGCTTTTCACAAGACAAAAATATTCAATTCTTATTTACAGACTATCAGAATAAATCATCTTCGAAAATCCTGCACTTGCTCTGCATTGACGAGACTTCATTTATAAAATGGAGAGAAAAACAGAATCCAGTAAGAAACAACATAACAAAATTGAAAATGTTTCAGGCTCGGTTTGATTGAGCCTGTTCATGGACGGAATTGGAATGACAAGCTTATGTCCTCGCCCCTAGCACATGCTTAAGCCGAATTCAACAGGAATGGTAATTTTTGTCATGTTTCAAATTAAAGATAGTAGTAAACACATTTCAAAATTTAAAGAAAATAAACAAAACAAACAAAACAAAAAACAACGACGATTCAGAGATTCCTGTTCAACCGAAAATAAATCAGTTGGTTCTGGCTTTTTTTTATGACTTGCGAAGGGAAGATTTTTTTTTATTTTAAGACACACTGATCAGTGTAAAATTTATATAGTGATTTCCCAGTATCTCCTTGTGACTGAGAAGTTGCTTTTAAGGGTCAATGCATCAGATTTGCAGTCACTGCTTATCACTGCGTGATCGTCAGAAGCAACTAAATAGGTTCGAATAACTGTAGTCTATGCATCTCCTAGCTCAAGTGGGTGCACAAAACTGTTATGTAGTAAAATATACCAAATGAAGAGGAAGATAATGGAGCGTGTTAATACATATATCTGATTTTCTGTCATTTCAAACAAAAGAAGTAATAAACAAATATACCATTTTCATTAAATGTGATGTCTTCGTTTGTTAATAAATTGTAGGATATGGCGAAGTTCTGATTCCAAGCCCTGATCCATCCATCTATCCATCCATCTATCCATCTGTCTTTCTTTTTTTATTTCTTTCTGGACTACATTTATTCTGTCCATATACCTCATTTATACAACTAATCTTGAGTTTATACACTTTTCTTGGATAAGAGTTTTTGTGCCAGTTCATAACTTTAACAGCTTGAATACTTAAAAGTCAGATTTACAACTTTATATCAAAGAAGTATCAGACATAAATGTTTTTGTATCTTAAAATTTATCATGTTTACACTTTCCACATATATATGAGATATCTGTTTGCATTTCATTTTTGTTCTTAAATATTGGTTAATAAGCTAGGTTTGTGGAAGTTTTTGCCTCAAACGGTAACCTTATACCTCGTGAGCATATTGCAAAAAAACTGTTTTCATTGAAAAGCCTGTTACAAGTTCAAACTGCTATAAAACTATAAAAAATGCTTCAATACTTATCAAACTTGGCACAAATCTTGACTGGACCATAGCTTTTGTTACAGCATGCTGGATCTTTTCCTGTTACCATAGCTCGGGGAACGTCTCAAAATTGCCAAAATCAATATTTTGCATTGTTGTTTTTTCCATTAAAACTGATTTCAAAGTGTTGCAACTGATAGAGAAAAAAGGCTTTTCAGCGTTGGTTGCATGTTACCATAAGATCGACATGATACCATTTCTGGCCCCTCACATATCCAAAATCTTCTTGGCGATGAAGTGAACTGCCGCCCCCTCCAAACCCCTCAAACAGAAGGGGCACATCCCCCCCCCCCTCTGCCTTCCCATTGATGCACAATTTTGATAGGGGCGGTGCCGAAAAAGTGATCACTATTTTTAACAACATTTCTCAAACGAAAAACCGTGTGTACATAGGTCATTTTTTCACTATTTGAGGCCATAAAATAGGGGGGATCGCCAAAACAAGCCTAAATGAGGTAAAAAGTTAAATTTTCAATCAAACCTAGAACGCAATATATTCATTTTTGTTCACTTTTTCATCTTTGCGATTTACATGTAATCACAGGCCAGATGAATCTCTATGATATTTGGTACTATAGATGCATCATTAAACAAAATCTTACACGTTTAAGTTTAAACATACTCCTATGAATTAACATTTCAAATAAGTTCATGATGCTTATACCTCTTCGAGACCCTTAACCGTCAATTCAATGGTTAAATATTGATGCATTGCCGGTATCAACAATAACAAACTTACTACTTTGACAGTGGACAAGAAATAGTTTCGTTCAAATATATGCTTGCATTTGTTCTGCTTTCATATTCAATGACAGTGGATAAGTGTGCATTGACTTTATGCTGTTATCAAGTCACCTGCAGCTAACGGACAATGCTCTTTAAGATACAAAGAAAGCAAAGGTATGAACAGTGATAAGTTGTTTGTCATTCCGCAATTCATGTATAAAAGTATATTGTAAATGTATGCAAAGCAAAGTTTTATCATGTGAATAGGCGACAAATTGATGTTGATTGAAAGTTAACCATATCAAATATAATCAAACTTTGCTTTTCGTATATGCGAAATAAAAATACATGTTAATGATCAACATTATTGTTTGTCCAATCACATTTTAGTATTTTTCAAATTACTGCTTAGTCTTACTTTGGTTAATGTGTACTAATATGTCGTGTAACCAGTCTAACAAATTTCAATAATGCATTATATTAGGGAAGAGTTAGAGGTGTGGTTTGCTCTCTGAATTGTAAAATATCTAGGTTAGCATAACAATGCCAACGTAAAAAATAAGGCGAGGTCAGGTGTTTACAGGATACAAGGATACACTTAATTAATTTATTACATAGATAATAGAGATGGGGCATGCAGAGACAAATGATTACATAGTAACTTTTTTATATCCTTTTGACTCCAAGATTATAGATAGCAGACTGTTTTAAACTTTATATTTTCCAGAAAAAGTAACCAAAACATTATCTTCTTTCACTTGATAGGAATGAAAGGGCCATTTATTTAGCATATCTAAATGTGACATGTTAGAAACTTGACAAGGTGTAGACATCTTGTAGAGCGAAAGGGCGGAGCTATATTAGAGACTTGCCTATAATTAACATATTTGGTTAAAAAAATTAATGTTGCTCATTAAATAGGTTAATGTTAAACAATACGCATTAACAAAAATAATTGATCGCATGCCTGCGGCAGGCTTGACCAATTATTTTTGTTAATCCGTATTATTTAACACTAACCTATACATAATATGCCAAGGCAACGGAATAGACATGTTATGAAAGATGTTAGATGCATCGTATGTATCACATATTGTATTCAGCGCAGGGATCGAAACAGACAAGGTGGTGGCGTTTGTACAGTCGAACTTCGTTCTCTCGAACTCGGAGGGCCGGTGCAAATTTGTTCGAGAGATCGGTAGTTCGAGCCAATCGAGGTCGAACTATTATTACGCTGATCATATGCCTAAAGGTTTTTAACACACATCGGTCGAATGATAAATACGTCAATATAATTGTTTGTTAGTACATCAGTTCGTCAAATATGTCATATTCAGAATTACTATCCTAGTGTTTTCA